CATCAGAGAATGCACACTGGGGAGACATCTACAAATGTGAAGCGATGAGTGGTTTGTATTAATAGATATTTTGAAATCAGCATATTTTCATAGTAGAATGAAACTTTCAAGAAGTTTCATTGAACTTTGAAGAAAATGAGAAAGTAATTTATAATAACATCTAAATACACATTTAAATACACATTAAAAAAAAGCAGTACAGAAATAAGTGAGTAACTTCTCAGATGTGACTATTTCATAATATCTCTATGGAGCACAAAACAACATTAACATGTATTACTATAAATGTTCAATACGATGGTTTGGGGACAGTTATAATTATTTTCTCCATACTTTTCATCAATCCTAACTTGAGATATTATCAAGTGATGACTGTGATGGAGGACAAGAATAGAAAGACTGGAGAGGAGGTGCCCAAGACCAGAACCTGAGGTCGCAGGGAATAAAAGGACCATTAACCCAGCTGTAGAGGTCGTGATCCTCAGGCGCCAGTGCCTTGTCACAAGGCATAAGGCCCAAGCAGGATCAGATGGTCTAGGGAGTGGAGCACAGGCCTGAGGGTGAAGATATGGAGATTGGGTCCATCCTGGAACCCGTGGCCCCTTTCTCAGTTTGCCAAGTTACCCAACATCAGCAACAAACAGTGCCCCTCCCAAAAAGAAAAGGATTGTACCTGTGCAGTCTCTGGAGAAGTCCTGGCCTTGCGGAGAGCGGCCCTTGAGGAGAGTGGCCTCCGCTGAGGGAGGTCAGTGAAGGTAGGTCCTGGCAGATACAGGTCACGGCAGGCAGGAGGCTGCTGCCCCGCAGAGGAGAGAGTTGGTGAACAGAGGCACCTGCATAGTCACAGGTGGGCAGACGGACGGCTGCTCCGGGCCAGTGCAGAAACCACACTGATGTAGTCTTCTGTTTGCACCATGTGGGTTGCTCCCTGGCCGGCCAGGGATCTAACTCATGCTGTAGAGGCTGTGCTTAACCCCTTGTGCCACCAGGGAGGCCCCAGGGCATAGAATTCTGTAGGTGCACATTAGCTAAGTAATGAATCTCTATGTTCACCACCAACTGTGGGGTCCAGGAATCAGAAGAACAAGAATGCATCTTAAATGCCTGCATCTTGATTTTGACCAAAGAGCATACACTGGTATCTGAATATTTAGACAATATGTGAACTTTTTTTTTTTAAAGAGGCATGTATTTTTATTTATTTATTTGTTTTATTTGTTTGTTTATACATGCACTGGGTACAGTCAGAAGCGTGGGAGGGTGAGAGAATTCACCAGAGCCAGAGTGGGGAGCAGAGCAGGCAGAAGGATCGAAGTACACTGCTGAGGGGAGCAGCGGGCGGCAGGAGAGGTCTGCGCACCATGTGGAACCCACCAGGCCGGGGAGCAGCGGGGATCGAACCGTCACCACAGAGGCCGCGGGGAGTTTCGCAACCCAGCACTCAACCGCTGTGCCACCGGGGAGGCCCACAATATGTGAACTTTTAATATATGTTTTAATAGAGATGACTTTTTAAAAGATTTATTTATGCATACAGAGCTGGGGTACAGGCCAGAAATGTTGGGGGTGAGAGGATTCATCAGAGACAGTGGGGAACAGAACAGGCAGATGGACCAAAGTACACTGCTAAGGGGAGCAGCGGGCAAGTCAGAAGAGGTCTGCTGCACCATGTGGGTTGCTCTCTGGCTGATCGGGGATAGAACTCGTCCTGCAGAGGCTGCGGATTGCTTCATAGTGTGGTGCTTAACCCCTTGTGCCACCAGGGAGGCCCTAAAGCTGAATTTTAAAAAATTCATTTAATTATTCATACAAGAACTGATGGAGGACAGGAATAGAAAAAAAATGAACAGGAGGAGCCACAAGACCAGAAACCTGGCTCACTCGAGGAGGGGGAGGTAGAAGGGATTAGCACAGCCACTGACACAGCTATAGGAACCAAGATCCTCAGGCACAACAGCTAGATTACAAAGCACAAGACCCATGCTGGTATCAGGCTGTAGGGAGAGTCTAAAGCACAGACCTAAAGGTAAAGATACAGAGATTGAGCCTGTGGAACCACGCTTAGCTGAGGTTTCGCCATTTTGTATATCCTCCACCTTGCTATGTTAGTCCTTGTCCAGCCGCATTCCGGAGATAGTTTCAGCAGTCACAACCCTCACTCCACTTGGTGACGAAAAAGCAGACCACCCCAGCCGCCAATGAGGGCAGTCCTGTCCATACATGGGACAGCATCTCTAACCGTCCAATCAGTTTGAAACTGTAACCGCGCGCGCCAAAATTCCTTTGTAGTAGCCAATGAATAATTGCCAGCTTCTTTCAAAGTTCCCGCCACTCGCGACCCTATAAGATATCCCAGCTTCCTCTGTTCGGGGCTCTCGACCTCTGCTGTTGCATCGGTGCGTGTCGAGGGCCCGGTCTCGAGCCCGTATTAAACTCCTTTGTGCCCTTGCATCGGTTGTCTGTGTCCTTGGGGGCTGCACTGGTCGACGTGGGCACAACAGAGCCCACTGTGGAATCTCCGTCCCTTTCAGATTCTGCAGAGTTGTCCAAAATCAGCTACTAACCAATGCTCACAAGGGGGGGGCCTCTCCCAAACAGAAGACTACATCAGTGCAGTCTCTGTGTTAGGGGGAAAAGGATGTCCTAAAGCAAATTCCATATAGGCTTTGTGGACTCCATCCCCACCCCAGGTCAAAGCCAAAGACACTGGGAACTCCAAATCCCATCACCACCAAAGGGAAGGTGGCTGGGACCTGAGGTGGGGTTAAGCAGCCAGGTGGATACAAAAGGCAGACACGTGGGCTTTGGGGATCCCCCATTTTGGCTCTCCACCAGCTCGCAGCGTCCGGCCAGCTCTGAGAGTGACTTTGGGTTTCCAGGTCGTCGGATCGGGTAGGACGCATTAAAGACTTTATTTCCCTATTTTCTCCCTGAGTTGTACATTTTCCTTATTTCCTTTTCTCTTGTAAATAAACCTTTTATTAACCTTTTTGCGTGTGTCTGTAGTAGAGTATTCATAAGTCCCTTTAAAGCGCGCGGGTGAGGACCCACAGCCAGGAACCCGTTTAATATCGGGGTTGCTCTATAACATCTGCACTGGCTCAGGGCTGCACTCCGTCTGCCCACCTGAGACTATGCAGGTGCCTCTTTTCACCAACTCTCTCCTCTGCAGGGCAGCAGCCTCCTGCCTACCGGTGCCCTGTACCTGCTGGGCTTGTCTTCACTGACCCCCTCAGCAGAGGCTGCTCCCTCAGGGACCCTGCCTGGGGGCATGCAGGCCTCTCAGCAAACCTGCCCTCTCTCGGGCAGCTCTTCCTGCCCGCTGGTGTCTATGCAAGTGTCCTTTATTCTTCTGTCCCTTTCACTAATAAACCTGCCATTTAAATATAACCAATGTCTCTGTCTTGTGGAGAAACGCGCCTGGGAAACTCGCTACTGTTGTGCCCAAGGTTAGCAGACTCGGCGAGCATAGCCTCCAAGAACCCAAAGACAGCTGATGCAAACACAAAAGGGAGTTTATTTCAGACTCGAGTCCGGGTTCACGGCACCTACCAACGCAGTGGCAGATCCCGAGGACCCCGAACAAAGGAAGCAGGGGGTCTTTTAATAAGGTTAAATTATGCTGGCAGTTACTCATTGGCTACAAGGATGCGTTCTCCAACTTTGCCTGGCTATCATTCTAAGCTGACTGGCCAGGCCAAGATGCAGCTCCAACCTGCAGCTCCAATTACAGCAAGTTCGCCCTCATTGGTGACCAGAGAGTAAGGGTGGAGTGAGGGTCCAAACTATCTCTGGAATGCAGTCTTTTCCCGGGACAGCAAGACCTGCAAGACCTGAAATTCTACAATGGCAGTTACACACAAAATGACAAAGCAATGGCTAAGAATACTTATGCTTGATTCCACAGCTACATGTCACTGAAACGGGAGCTCTGGGGACACCTTTCCCAGGGTGACCCCAAGGAACCCGCACCCCAAACTGACTGACTCCAACAACAACAACAACAACAACAAGAACAGAATGGGGGTATAGGTCCAAAGCTGGGCAGGGGATTGAGAGGATTCTCAGGAGACAGGGTGGGGAGCAGATGTACTGGCATCCAGGGCTGAGGGGGGCAGTGGGGGAGACGGGGCAGATCAGCTCTGCCCTCTGGGTCAGCTCCCCGGCCAGGATGGAACTCAGGCCGCAGAGGCTGGCAAGAGGGTGCTAGCACAGACACTTCAACCAGTTCACCCGCGGTGTGTCCTTGTTCAGCTCCTTTTCAACTCAGCCCTGAACCAGTTCTCCACCAGCCATTTTCAGGGGCCCCGCCCACCGTCCATTCTCCCTGACCCTCTGCTCATCCTGTCAGGGGGAAAGGCTGTCCTGAGCTAATCCCATACAGGCTTGGTGGACTCCACCCCACTCCAGACCGAAGCCATCAAGACACGGGAAAGACAAATCCCATCACCACCAAAGGGAGGGTGGCTGGGACCTGAGGGCGGAGCTAAGCAGCCGGGTTTGGTATAAAGCCAGACGCTGGGTCTCTCCCGGCCTCACTGCTCTTGGGCCTCCGCCAGCTCTCCGTGCCCCTGGGACTCCAGCTCCGCAGGCCGGGTAGGACGCATTTAAGACCTTATCTCCCTCTTTGCTCCCTGACTGTCCATTTCCTCATGTCCCCTTCCCTGTGGATAGCCTTTTGTCAATAGCTTATGCATGTCTCAGTGCAGCATTACTACGTCCCCGCTAAGCGCCGGGCGAGGACCCACACTCAGGCAGCCCGCTCACAGCGGCGGCTGCCACGTAACACTTCCACCTCCCGGCTGCGAACCGTTGCCCCTCAGACGTCCCGGAAGCGGCGCATAGGATTGTGGGAAATGTAGTCTCCTGAGCCTGCGCGTTTCCCGCCAAGGGCTCTGGGTGGGGGGGGGCGCTTCTGGGTTCTGCGCAGGCGCGACCCCTTCCTTCGCCCCGTCAGGGCGTCCGGATCTTCCACGCGCTGCGGCGTCACGGTTGTGCGCGGCCGTTGTCTCGAGGCCGGCTGGCGGGGAGCTGAGGCGGCGCGCGGGGTGGGGAGACGGGGAGGGTTTGGGGGGCGCCCTACGTGCGGGGTGGGAGCGTCGAGTGAGGCCTGAGGGCGGGCGCGGGGGAGACCTCCTGGACGCGGGGCGCCCCGCCGGGCTCTGAGGGGGACGCCGGGCGGGGAGTGTGTCGTGGGGCTTTAGATTCCTCGCCGCGTGGATCGTTAGGAACGCGGGGTGCGGGCCACAGGGTCGCTGAGCTCTTGCTGTGACGACCCCCCAGATTTGCGGCCCCTCAGCTGTTGGATGTGGGTGTTCTGCTTTTGGGGCCTTTCCCGTCGCCGACGCGGTGTGCCGGGGCACGGAGGCCGAGGGGAGCCGCGGCCTGGCTGAGGCTGGTTGGGGAGAACGTCGCGGCCTTTCTGGGGGCTTCCCGGCGCGGCGCAGGGCCGGGTCCCCGGACGGACGCTGCCCCGGGGTCTTCCCTGGGGGGTGGGGACGGGGTCCTGCAAGGCTGGAGCCTGGGGAAGCGCGTTTCCACCTGTGCGCAGGGGCAACACCCCAGGACAGATCTACTCGCTGTGTGTGTGGGGGGGGGGGCGGGCAGGCGGGGTTCCACAGAAACGATGGCGGGGAGGCGGGCTCTCCCGCCCACCTCTGGGAGTCTCCTAGCAAAATAGTGCATTAGGTACATTTTTTTTTTTTTAAGATTTATTTATTTAGTATACAAGAGCTGTGGTACAGGCCAAAGGGGTGTGTGTGCGGGGCGTGGGGGCTGGTGAGAGGACTCACCAGAGACAGAGTGGGGAGCAGAACGGGTGGACCCACTGAAACACACTGCTGAGGGGAGCAGCGGGGAGACAGGAGAGGTCTGCTGCGCCATATGGGTAGCTCCTGGCCGGGGTCGAACTGGTGCTGCAGAGGCTGGGCACTGCTTCGTAGTGTGGTGCTTAACCCCTTGCGCCACCAGGGAGGCCCAGCTTTGAAACTTTTGTTCTTTGTGTGAACAATGAATCAGTAGAAAGTATTGGTTTTCATTGTTCACAGCCTCTGCAGTGCGGGGTTGGATTCCCGATCTGCCAGGGAGAAACCCACATGGAGCAGCAGAACTCTCCTGTCTCACCCGCTGCTCCCCTCAGCAATGTCTTAGGTCTGTCTGTCTGTTCTGTTCCCCGCTCTGACTCTGGTGAATTCTCTCACTCTCCTGCGCCTCTAACTGTACCCCAGTGCTTATATGCATAAATAAATTAAAAAAAAAAGTTACAGTAAATTGTAAACCCATTCTACCAGTTATGGACTGTGGGTCCTTTCGTGCCCCTTCTAAAGTGTGAACACTGCTGTCACACGTAGTGACTCTCTGGTCTCTCCCATGCAGTGTAGGGCGCTCTGGACAGGAGACTCCAGGAGCAGCAGCCTTAGTTCTCTCCTGTGGGACTCCATCCCCTCTCCAGCTCCAGCCCCACAGCCCTCAGGCATCTGTGAGAGCAGCAGACAATGAAGAAATCTCTGGTGAGTGATGTGTTTGCTTTAGCTTGTGGTACATTGGCTTTATGCACTTTTTGAGAGTTCATCAACTGAAATGTAAAAGTAGAAACATGTAAAGTTTTCTCCAAGCACCCCTGCATCAACAAGACAGGTGTCATGTAGATCCTGGCAAATCACATGTCCAACATTTGTGGAGATTGGGCTCTGCCCTGAGGCCATGTCAGATAGTGAGACACTTGTCCCCTGATGAGAAGGGACCCCTGGGGGGCACTGTGCTGGGTGTCCTGGGGCCTGAGCTCTTGTAGAGCAGAGTCTGAACCTGGGTCTCCTTTGACGTAGCTGATGGTGTGGCCTGTGGCTCTTCACCCCGCTGGACAGAAACACTTCCCAGCTCTGCGCTGCTCAGGTGTGGGGTGAGGGAGGAGGAGGAGGATGGGCCTGAGGACCCAAGTGCAGGTGGGGGTGAAGGAGCCACGTGTCATTTGAAAAGGACAACTGAATTTTTTTTTTTTTTTTTATAAATAGTATGTTTTTTTTTTTTTAATAGAGGCATGTTTTATTTATTTATTTATTTATTCATTTGTTTGTTTTTTTTGTTTATACATGCACTGGGTACAGTCAGAAGCGCGGGAGGGTGAGAGAATTCACCAGCGCCAGAGCGGGGAGCAGAGCAGGCAGAAGGACCGAAGTACACTGCTGAGGGAAGCAGCGGGCGGCAGGAGAGGTCTGCGCACCATGTGGGACCCTCCTCCGGTGGCTGGGGAGCAGCCGGGGATCGAACCGGGGCTGCAGAGGCTGCTGGCAGCTTCGCAACCCAGCGCTCAACCGCTGCGCCACCAGGGAGGCCCAGGACAACTGAATTTTTAAGGCTTCTGTGCAGTTGCTGAAATCCTATCCTGTGTCCCAGGCCGCTCTCGGAGACTTTCATGCAGGCGTCAGTCTTGGCACGTGTGACGTTGAGTCCAATGAGGCGTCCTTACATACCTGCCCCTGCTCTTCTCTCAGGGGGTCTGCAAACCCCAGGTGCCCAGCAGGCTGTTCTTTGCATTTTACCTTGGTGTAGTCTGAATACATTTCTAGTGAAGCTCACCTGTACCCTAAGATGTTCTCAAGTGCAGTTACATTTCTCTAGCCTTGGCCTTATCCAATTTTCCTGCCGTATTTGACAATACTATGTATGACCTTGGGAAAATTTCAGTTACTTTTTAATTGTCTTAAACCTTCTTGTACTTGTTTGCATGTTTACTTCTTTTACTTATTTTTGGCCTCCTCAGTCTGTCTTCACATGTGTGGCACTGAAAGCCTTCTGCTGAAATAGTGGTCAATTTTCTTGTATATTCCAAATGGGCTTTTCCCTATCCTTTTTTTCCCCTGGCCCCACCCTGGCCCATCCCCCTCTGCCCCTTCCCTTCTTCCCGAGGGTGGTAACCTTTGTCTTCTTTTTGCCTCCTTCAATTTTTATGACTACAGTATTTTGCCTGTAAATGTATTTTGGCTATTTATTTGTTCTTTAAAGATTTATTTATTTATGCACACAAGAACTGGGGTACAGGCCAGAGGTGTGGGGGTAAGAGGATTCACCAGAGACAGAGTGGGGAGCAGAACAGGCAGACTGACTGAAATCCACTGCTGAGGGGAGCAGTGGGGAGACAGGAGAGGTCTGCGGTGCCCTGTGGGTTGCTCCCTGGCCAGGGATCAAACTGGTGCTTCAGTGACTGGGGATGGCTTCATAGGTTGCGTCTTAACCCCTTGCGCCACCAGGGAGGCCCTATTTTGGGTGTTTATGTTCCATAGTTGAGTGAAGCCATCTAATATATGTGTCTTTACTTTTGACTTATTTTACTCCAGGTAATCATGACCCGGTCCACCGATTTTGTCCTCAGGGCCACCCCTTGCTCTTCCCTCCCGGGCCTGCAGTGCTCCCCTGTGTGTGCTCCACCCTTCCCGTCCCTGCCTCTGTTAAAGGGATGTAGGTTGGGCCATGAGTGGGCAGTTGGGAACAGAGCTGCTCTGCTAATGGTTGTAGATAAATCTTTTTGTATTTGAGATTTCACTTTTCAATATATAACTTACAGAAGTATTGCTGATTATGTGGAATTTCCATTTTTATTTCCTTAAGAAACCTCTGCACCGTTTTCCACAGGGACTGTCCAACTCTCATGGCCACCAGCCGTGGGTGAGAGCTCCTTTTTCTCTGCGCCCTCTCCGGCGTTGTTCATTCCATTCTTTTTTATTTGGGCCATTCTTGGGTGAGGTGGCATCTCAGTGTGGTTTTAATTGACACTTTTCTTACAGTAAGTTAAGATGAAAATTCCTATGTCTGTAGGACGTCAGAATTTCCTCTTTAGAGGACTGTTTATGTAGTTCCTTTGCCAATTTTTAATTGGGTCATTGTTGGTTTCTCAGATTGTTTGGAAATGAACCCCTTGTGAGATGTGTGGCCTGCAGATTTTTTTTCTATTCTGTAGACTGCCTTTCTGCTTTTGTGCTGGTTTCTTTTGAGGTACAAAAGCTTTTAGGTTTGGTGTTGTCCCATGAGCTGATTTCTGCTTTTGTTTCCCTTGGTGTTGGGGTTGTGTTCCCTGGTACAGTTTGTAGCACCCACCCATCCTGTCACATGTCCCTTATTTTCTGTCAGTAATTCATGGCTAGGGCTCTTATGTCCAAACATCGAATCCATTTGGAATTCATTTTGCGTATCGAGTTTGGAATGGGTCTTGGTTCTTATTTTTGCAAGAGGCTCTCCATGTTTCCCAGCACCATTTATTTTTCTGAAGCTGTATTTATGTACTTATTTATGCATAGAAGAACTGGGCTGTGACCAGACATGAAGGGGTTGAGAGGGCTCACCAGAGACAGTGGGGAGCAGAACTGGCAGATCTACTGAAATATGCCGCTGAGGGGAGAAATTGGGGAGACAGGAGAGGTCAGCTGTGCTACATGATCTGCTCCCTGCCATGGGGTAGTGCTCATATTTCTTAGTGTTAACCCCTAGGCCACAAGGGAGGCCCCCTCCCAGCACCATTTGTTTAAGAAGCTGTCTTGTTTCCATTGTGTGACTTCAGCTGCTCTGTCAGAGATGAGCTGTGTTGGTATGATTTGCTCTCTGGGTTTTCAGTTGTCTTCTGGTTGTGTTTCAGGCCAATACTGTTTTGGTTACTATTGTGTTTAATATATTTTGAAGTCAGGAAGTGTGATACTTATATTTTCTTCTTTTTTCTCAAGATATTTTAGCTATTTGGGACCTTCTTTGAGTTCATATAACTGTGGTAATTGTTCTGTTTCCTGACAAAAAGAAGTCCTTGTTATTTGAGTAAGTATTGCATTCAATTTGTAAATTGCTCTGGGCAATAAGGTAATTTATGATGTTAATTCTTCCTACCTAGGTGCACAGGACATCTTTCTATTTCTCTGTCTTTGATTTCCTTTAATAGATTATTATAATTTTATGTCCCTGGTGGCGTAGCAGGTTGACCTCAGAGCTATGAAGCAACCTGCAGCACTGGTTCGATTCCTGGGCGGCCAGGGAGCTACCCATATGGCACAGCAGACCTCTCCTGTCACGCTTGCTGCTCTCCTCAGCAGTGTATTTTGGTTGTCTGCCTGTTCTGCTCCCCGCTCTGTCTCTGGTGAATCCGCTCACCCTCCCATGCCTCTGGCCTGTACCCCAGTTCTTGTATAAATAAATAAAATCCTTAAAAAAATAGTCTTATAATTTTCAGGGGTCACGTCCTTTACCTCCTTCTTTAACTTTAATGAAATAATGAGTTATTTCAGTCTTTTTGGTGTGAATGTCAATGGAAATGCCAGTCATTTCACACACATTCTCAGCATAACTTGTTTATACTTCCAGAAAAAGAAACAAAAAATTTTATCATATTCAACCCTTATAAAACTATGAAATGGTTCAATATATTATGTAACATTTTTTTTGAGAAGTTACTCTCAAACATGGTAGTTCTTATTACAATGGGTTCCATGTTGTATGTTTGTCTACACTGTGGATATGAAATATGCAGAAAGTATCACCAAAGCTTGGTTTCCTTCATACTGTTTGAAATAATCTTGAATTCGTTGACATGACTACATTCATCAATTTTGTGTCTATGTGGTCCCCATGTTTATTACTTGAAAAGGTCACGTTATATACTGTGTCCTGTGTCTTTCTCTTTTTTAACTAGTTTCCATTCTTATCGGCTGCACAACCTGCTGTGTCCATTGTTTAGGGTCCTCTCTGATCCATTTTAGCTCAGATCTGCAGGGAAAACCCAGGTCTCTAATTTTGCGGATGTTTGAGGAAATGTTCATTGTAAAAGATAAAATGTATTATTAAGCTTGGAGAGTACTATCTGGTTCATGTATGAATCTAATAAAAGCTGCAGGAATGGCGTCTAGGACACTAAATGTTCAAATATGATTATCATTGCTTTGCTTATTATTCTATCATAACCTACAATTTCCTGCCAGTCTTTCACCTCAGTTTCTACTATGATTTTTCTCCATTGTCCTGTGTCCTTGCTGTACAAATGTTGCCTTTGGGTCAGATTTGACATCACTGAAATTATAACGTCCAAAGTGTTTTCGTGGATGTATGTGATCCTCTGTGCTTGGTGGGTGCATTGCACTCTTAGGGTGTAAACATGGAACTTACTGCATAAAGACATTCTCCCTCAGAACCATGTCTCTTTTTTTCTTTAAAGATTGATTTACTTATGCAAATAAGAACCTGGGTACAGGGCCTCCCCGGTGGCGCAGCGGTTGAGCACTGGTTTGCGAAGCTGCCCGCGCCTTCTGCAACGCTGGTTCGATCCCCGGCCACCGGGCGAGGGTCCCACATGGTGCACAGACCTCTCCTGCCGCCCGCTGCTCCCCTCAGCAGTGTACTTCGTCAGTCTGCCTGCTCTGCTCTGCTGTGCTCTCCGCTCTGGCTCTGGTGAATTCTCTCACTCTCCCGCGCTTCTGACTGTACCCAGTGCTTGTATAAATAAATAAAATTTTAAAAAAATCTAAAAAAAAATAAAAGAAAGAAAGAACCCGGGTACAGGCCAGAGGGGCGGGGGTTGAGAGCATTCACCAGAGACAGAGTAGGGAGCAGAACAGGCAGACTGACTGAAATAAACCGCTTAGGGAAGCAGCGGGCAAGTCAGGATCCTCTGGCTGGGGATCAAACTACCACTGTGATGCCTGCAGATGGCTTCACAGGCTGTGCACAATCCTTTGCACCACCAGGGAGGCCCTCTTCTTTTTTTTAAGATTTAATTTATTTACACATACAAGAGCTGGTGTATGCGCCAGAGGTGTGTGGGCCAAGGGGCTGAGAGGACTCTCCAGAGACAGGGTGGGGGCTGAATGGGTGGATCTTCTGAAATCCACTGCTGAGGGGAGTAGCAGGTGAGACAGGAGAGGTCTGCTGCACCCTGTGGGTAGCTCCCTGGCTGGGTGTGCAACTCATGCTCAGTGGCTGCCATAGCTTCATAGTGCTGAGACTGAGCCCTTTGTGCCACCATGGGGCCCCTTTTAACTCTCTTTACCTCTTGTCCAATTTAGAGCTCTGCTAGTGGCCCCATAGTAACTGTGTATTTTGATTTCAGGAACCCTTGACTTTCAGAGATGTGGCCATAGAATTCTCGGAGGAGGAGCAGGACTGCCTGGACCCGGCACAGTGGAAATTGTACCGGGACGTGATGTTCGAGACCTACAGGAACCTGGCGTCCTTGGGTGAGGAGAATATCCCTCCAGATTTCCTCATCTGCCCTCACCGTTTCCTGTTATGTGTGGGCGTGCTCCTGGGATGTCCAGATTTGTAGGCTACATTTACATCCCTGCTTTTAAGAAAAACAGTGTGGGTTTGTTGGAAAGAAAGTCTCATGCTGTTTGATCATGACTTAAACTTCTGTTCTCTTAGGGTGATCTGCAGCCTGCTCTCTCTCAGTGCTCATTCAAGAAATTCAGTGCCTTAAGGGTATTGCTTCCACCTAAGACCCCAGTTTCCACACTTTCTAGGACTCAGGTCTAGAAATGGTTCTCAGGATATGAAAATTTAAATGATTTTTATTAGGGGCCTCCCTGGTGGCACCGCCAGTTGAGTGCCACTCTATGGAGCTGTTCGCAGCCTCTGCAGCACTGGTTTGGTTCCCAGCTGGCCAGGGAGATTCCCACATGGCGCTGCAGACCCCTCCTGTCTCACCTGCTGCTGCCCTCAGCAGTGTGTTTCGCCAGTTGTGTGCTCTGCTCCCTACTCTGTCTCTGGTGAATCCTCTCACCCTCCCGCGCATCTGGCCTGTACCCTGGTTCTTGCATAAAAAGAAATCTTTAAAAGTAAATAAATAAAATTGGGCCTCCCCAGTGGCGCAGCGGTTGAGCGCTGGGTTGCGAAGCTGCCCGCAGCCTCTATAGCTCCGGTTCGATCCCCGGCTGCTCCCCAGATACCGGAAGAGGGTCCCACATGGTGTGCAGACCTCTCCTGCCGCCCGCTGCTCCCCTCAGCAGTGTACTGTGGTCCTTCTGCCTGCTCTGCTCCCCGCTCTGGCTCTGGTGAATTCTCTCACCCTCCCGCGCTTCTGACTATACCCAGTGCTTGTATAAATAAATAAAAATAAATCTTTAAAAAAAAAAAGTAAATAAAATAAATGAATGGATGATTTATAGTAAAGGTGCTGTCAGAAAAAGTATTTTCGGTGTCCTTCTCTAGAACCTTCTATATTGTCCTCTCTATTGAGTACAAGACTGCATTGGGAATTTGAGAATCTTTAGGTCATCTCATATCACCTGTCCTAATAAATAGGTCTTGCTGTGTCTAAGCCCGACCTGGTTGTCTTGTTGGAGCAAAGGATGGAGCCCTGGGATGTGAAGAGAAGTGCAGGTCCCGTCCTCCTCCCAGGTAGGTGGAATGAATCTGGCAGAGGCCGCAGCTGGGAGGTGCAGTGGTCAACAGGCCAGCATCCTAAATGTCTGGGAAGCTCTGTTTCAGGGGTTGCAGACATGCTCCTCTTTTGTCTTGGAGTCTTAGTCTTGCTCTCCCTGGGGGCGTCTCCTCTCTGACACTTGAGTCCTCTGCCTTTCCTTCTCACTAACTTGAACTGAGGGTTTGTCCATTTTGTTGCTCTTTCAAAATCCAGACTTAATCTTTTAATAAGAAGCTCCTACTTTTTGGGCATGAGGTTACATTTGTGTATTTCTTATTAATTTTTTTTATATTTAAAGAACAGATTTAGTAGGAAAAGGGACAGAAGAATATAGGACACTTGCATAGACACAAGCAGGCAGGACGAACTGCCCCAAAAACACAGCTTTGCTGAGAGAGGCCTGCATGTTTGCAGGCGGGCGGCCTTGAGGAGAGTGGCCTCCGCTGAGGGAGGTCAGTAAGAAACCCCAGCAGGTACAGGTCACGCAGGCAGGAGGCTGCTGCCCAGCAGAGGGAAAGAGTTGGTGAAAAGAAGCACCTGCACAGTCATGGGTGGGCAGACAGAATGCTGCTTTCTTAACAATTTTTTTTTTTTAATAGAGGCATGTTTATTTATTTATTTATTTGTTTTTTGTTTTGTTTATACAAGCACTGGGTACAGTCAGAAGCACGGGAGGGTGAGAGAATTCACCAGAGCCAGAGCGGGGAGCACAGCAGGCAGAAGGACCGAAGCACACTGCTGAGGGGAGCAGCGGGCGGCAGGAGAGGTCTGCGCGCCACGTGGGACCCTCCTCCGGTGGCCGGGGAGCAGCCGGGGATCGAACCGGCACTGCAGAGGCCTCCGCCAGCTTCGCAACCCAGCGCTCAACTGCTGCGCCACTGAGGAGGCCCCTTCTTAACAATTTTTAAGTGTCCTCCTGTTTTCTTTCTTTTTTTTGGTAAACTTTTTAAAAAAATTTTTTTAAACTTTTTTTTTTTTTTTTAAGATTGATTTATTTATACAAGCACTGGGGTACAGGCCAGAGGCGCGATCGGGTGAGAGAATTCACCAGAGCAGGGAGCAGAACAGGCAGAAGGACCAAAGCACGCGGCTGAGGGGAGCAGCAGGCAAGTCATGAGAGGTCTGCTGCGCCATGTGAGAATCTCCCTGGACGGCCAGGAATTGAACCCGTGCTGCAGAGGCTGCGGACAGCTTCATAGTGCTGCACTCAATGCTCTGCCCTCAACCCACTGTGCCACCAGGGAGGCCCTGAGTGTCCTCCTTTCTGTCAATATGGAGTTTAAATGGTTCTTTTTCTGATTCCTTGAGGTGTGAAGTTATAAGATCCCTCTTATTGCTAGTATAATTGTTTTTTTTTTTAATATTTTATATAATTCTTACATCATTATTCATTTTTGCACAATGTATGCATTTTCATTTTAGTTATATTCCCCATACAATTGCACCCCCCCCCCCTTATTTTGACCCTAATCCTTCCTCCTCCCCCCCCCCCCCCGCAGTGTGTCTCTGGTCGATAGTTACTTGTTGGTTTTGATTTTCACTTTGTATTAATTAGTCTTTTTCCTGGTCCCTTATTTAGGTTTTCTAAATTCCTGCTATGGGAGAGACCATCTGGTATTTTTCTTTTTCTTTCTGACTTACTTCGCTGAGCATGATCCCTTCTTGCTCCATCCATGTTGCTGCAAACTGCATGTGTTTACCTTTTGAATGCTGAGTAATATTCCACGGTGTATATGTACCACATCTTCTTGATCCAGGCATCTATTTTTGGGCATTTGGGTTGTTTCCATAGCTTAGCTATTGTAAATAGTGCTGCTATAAACATAGGGGTGCAGGTGCCCTTTGGAATTAATGTTTCTGTGTCCTTTGGGTAAATACCTAGGAATGGAATTGCTGGATCATATGGAAGCTCTATGTTTAGTAGATCAAGAAATCTCTACACAGCTCTCCATAGTGGTTGGACCAGTTTGCACTCCCACCAGCAGTGCAGGAGAGTTCCTTTTTCTCCATATCCTCGCCAACATTTGTTGTTGCTAGTTTTTTTAATATGTGCCATTCTCACTGGTGTGAGATGGTATCTCATGGTAGTTTTGATTTGCATTTCCCTGATGACAAGTGATGTTGAACATTTTTTCATATGCCTGTTGGCCATTTGCATTTCCTCTTCAGAGGAGTTTCTTTTTAGCTCTTCTGCCCATTTTTTGACTGGATTATTTTCTTAGTTTTTGTTGAGTCTCATCAGCTCTTTGTAGATTTTTGTGATCAGCCCTTTATCATTAGTGTTATGTGCAAAAATTTTCTCCTAGTCTGTGGGCTTTCTCTTTGTTTTGGTTATTGTCTCTTGCTGTGCAGAAGCTCTTTAATTTGATGCAGTCCCAGCTTTTTATCTTTGCCTTCACTATCACTGCTTTGGCCGATGCGTCTGTAAAGATGTCTTTGAGGTGCACATCATGTAATGTTTCGCCTATATTTCTTTCTATATATTTTACAGTTTCAGGTGTTATGTCTAGGTCTTTAATCCATTTTGAGTTGGTTTTTGTGCATGGTGTTAGGTAGTAGTCAAGCTTCATTCTTTTGCATGTAGCGACCCAGTTTTCCCAGCATCATTTATTGTACAAACTTTCTTTGCTCCAAACTTTGTTTGCTCCTTTGTCAAAGATTAGTTGACCATAAATCTGTGGGTTTGTTTCTGGATTTTCTGTTCGGTTCCATTGGTCTGTGTGTCTATTCTTGTTCCAGTACCATGCAGTTTTTTTTTTTTTTTTAATAGAGGCATGTTTATTTATTTATTTATTTATTTATTTATTTATTTATTTGTCTGTCTGTTTGTTTTTGTTTACACATGCACTGGGCACAGTCAGAAGCATGGGAGGGTGAGAGAATTCACCAGAGCCAGATCGGGGAGCAGAGCAGGCAGAAGGACCGAAGTGCAGCGGGCGGCAGGAGAGGTCTGCGCGCCATGTGGGACCCTCCTCCGGTGGCCGGGGAGCAGCCGGGGATCAAACCGGTGCCGCAGAGGCAGCGGGCAGCTTCGCAACCCAGCGCTCAACCGCTGCGCCACCGGGGAGGCCCTACCATGCAGTTTTAATGATTATGACTTTGTAGTATAGTTTGAAGTCTGGGAGTGTGATGCCTCCATTCCCTTCTTTTTTTTTTTCAGGAGAGCTTTGGCTATTCGGGGTTTTTGGTGATTCCATATGAATTTCATCAATAACTGTTCTATTTCTTTTTTTTTTTTAATTAAATCTTTTTTTTTAAAGATTTATTTATTTATTTATTTATACAAGCACTGGGTACAGTCAGAAGCGCAGGAGGGTGAGAGAATTCACCAGAGCCAGAGCAGGGAGCAGAGCAGGCAGAAAGACCGAAGTACACTGCTAAGGGGAGCAGCGAGCAGCAGAAGAGGTCTGCGCACCATGCTGGACCCTCCTCCGGTGGCCAGGGAGCAACTTGAGATTAGGTTGTTTCTTTGAGTTCTTTCTTGTTTCTTGATGTTAGCCTCTATTGCTATGTATTTTGCTCTTATTACTGCTTTTGCTGCATCCCATACATTTAGGAAATTGGTGCCCTCCTTGTCATTTGATTCAAAGTATTTTTTAATTTCTTCTTTGATATCCTCATTAGTCCATTGGTCTTCCAGTAGTGTGTGTTTCAATCTCCATGAGGTAGGAGAGTTCCTTGCCTTCTTTTTATGATTTATTTCTGGTTTGATGCCTTCGTGGTCAGAGAAGATGGTTGGTATGATTTCAGTCTTGGTGTACCTGTTGATGTTTGTCTTGTGTCCCAGTATGTGATCGATCCTGGAGAATGATCTGTGTGTGCTTGAGAAAAATGTGTACTCAAATTTTTTTGGGTTTAGTGTTCTATAGATGCCTGTTAAGCCCATGAGCTCTAGATCCTTATTTAGAGCTTTAGTGTCCTTACTTATTTTTTGTCTCATTGATCTATTTATTGTTGACAGTGGTGTGTTGAAATCCTACTACATATGTGTTTTCTCTGATGTCTTTTCAGAGATAATAGTTGTCTGATATATTTTGGTGCTCCTTAATTTGGTGAGTATATGTTAAATGAGTGTTATTTCTTCTTGAAGTGTTGTCCCCTTGATCATAATGTAGTGACCATTGGGGTCTCTTTTTACCTTTTTGAGTTTGAAATCTGTTTTATCTGATAAAGTACAACTGTTTCTGCCTTCTTTTTTGGTCCATTTGCTTGTAGGATTGTTTTCCTTCCTTTTACTTTGAGTCTGTTTTTATCTTTTGTAGTTAAATGTGTTTCCTGGAGACAGTAAAAGGTTGGGTTTGTTTCTTAATCCGGCCTGTGACTCTGTGTCTTTTTATTGAAGAGTTTAGTCCATTTACATTTCGAGTTAATATTGATATGTTAGCGCCTGTATTTGCCATTGTGTTTGTCTTTCCTCTGAGTTTATTTATTCTTTTAATAACTTTTTTTTTGGCCTTGTTTCGCTGTTATTCATCCCTCTGTTGGTTCTGGCTTTAGGACTCCTTGTAGTTTTTTGTGGAGTAGGGGCTTAGTCGTAATGAAATTCCAGTGTTTCTGTGTGTCTGGGAAGGTCCTTATTCTTTCTTCCTAGAGGAAGGAAAGCTTTGCAGGATAGAGTATTCTTGGTTGGCATCTGTTTTCTTGGAGTCTATTGATTATGTCCCTCCACTCTCTCCTTGCCTGTAGTGTTTCTTCGGAGAAGTCTGATGTCAGCCTGATTGTTTTTTCTTTGTATGTTATTTCTTTCTTCCCTCTTGTCAGCTTCATTATTTTTAACTTGTCTTGGATTCTTGGGAGCTTTACTATTATGTTTCTTGCTGTATTTTTCCTTTCATCATGGAAGGTTGGTGTTCTTCTTGCTTCTTGTATGTCTATTTTCAGCTCCTTCTTCATGTTTGGGAAGTTCTCTTCAATTATTTCCTTGAATATTTTCTCTGTTCCTAGGTCTCTCTCCTCTCCTTCTGGGATTCCTATAACTCTTATATTTCCTTTCCTCATGAAGTCAGATAGTTCCTGAAGTCTTTTTTTTTTTTTTAACCTTTTTTTTTTTTTAAAGATTTCTTTATTTATTTATATAAGCACTGGGTACAGTCAGAAGCTCGGGAGGGTGAGAGAATTCACCAGAGCCAGAGCTGGGTGCAGAGCAGGTATAAGGACCGAAGTACACTGCTGAGGGGAGCAGCGGGCGGCAGGCTGCGCGTCATGTGGGACCCTTCTGCAGTGGTCGGGGAGCAGCTGGGGATCGAACTGGCGCTGCAGAGGCTGCAGGCAGCTTCGCAGCCCAGCGCTCAACCGCTGCGCCACGGGGGAGGCCCGTTCCCGAAGTCTTTCTTCAGTCTTTTTTATTCGTACTTCTCTTTCATTTTCTGTTTTGGTTGTTTTTATTTCCGTGTCTTTGAGAGTGCTTATTCGTTCTTCCATTTCCTCTATTCTGTTATCACTGCTTTTCCCAGTGTTCTTTAGCTCTTCTGTTAATCCTTTAATCTCCTGCATTTCCTTAATTTCCCTCTTTAGGGACTCAATTTCATTCTTCTGAGTGTTGTTTTCCTTAATGACTTTCCTCAGTTTTTTCATCTTTGCAATTTTGAATTCTCTTTTGGGAAGGCTCAGAAGTTCTTCCAAGTCACTGTTGTTGCAATCTCGCGGGTGGTTTTCTTTTTGTGGTGTGTCTTTTTCCTGAGGAGTTGCTAGGTTGCATGTAGTTTTTCTTCTCCCTGCTGCCTGTTTTCTAATTAGCGCTATGTGTTGGGACACTGTGTCGCTGGTATTGGCTGGCATCTTTTTGGTGTGCTCTTTCTGGGATTTCCGAAACTGGCAGTCCAATTGAGTCAAATACCGTTATGCCAGAAGTCCAATGAGGCAGTGGTGCTTTGAGTATGTTAATGGTCACTGTCACAGAATATCTCCTCCTTCTGCATTTGTTTAATTCCAAAGGTGTGTCCTGAAGTCCCACAGACTTCCCAGGAGGTGGGGTGGCTGGCTGGATTGCACTCTGGGCTCCAAATCGCTGAATCCCTCTCTGGGCTCCAACTCTCTGCCAGGCAGGACCAGGCTTGTGGGGGCCTTCAGCTCACTTCTGGCTGCACAGGGAGCTTCTCCCGGTTTCAAGCAGTCTTTATTGAAGGATGGTCCCTATTCTAAAATGGCGAGTTGGTGAAGTACTTTCCTGCCCACGCACATTCTGCCCTAGCCGTGGATGCCCGCTCCCCCTCTGGGCTCGGACTGCTGGCCAGAAGGGACCCTGCATGGGGGTTCTTCCCAGCTCACCTCTGGCTGCGTAGGGTGCTTTCTCCCGGTTTCAAACAGTCTTTATTGAAGGGAGGTCCCTGTTCTAAAATGGCGAGTCGGAGACGCACTTTCTTGCTCCCACGCGTTCTGTCCTGGCTGTGGATGCCCGCTCCCCCTCTGGGCTTGGACTCTAGTGTAATTGTTTATGCTTTAATTTATACCTTACTATTTTCTGAATCCCACATGTTTTGGGGGGACTTTGCTTCATTTCAGTGTTTTCACAGTATTTCTTAGTTTTTTGGAATCAAGGAAACATTGTTTTACCTTGCTGTATGTGATTTAGGGAGTAGAATCTCATCTCCTCAGATGTCTGTCACCACCACACACACCACCAGTGCATTGTGGGCTTCTCCATAGATCTTTGAACCCTTCCCACTTTCATATTCACACCCACTCTCCCCCCCTTTTTAGTGCCCTCAATTCTGCAGTCCTGTTTCTAAAGTTGATTTTGTTTGTTTTTCAATAGATTTTTTTAAAAGATTTATTTATTTCCTTATACAAGAGCCAGGGTACAGGCAAGATGCTTGGGAGGGTGAGAGAATTCACCAGAGACAGAGCGGGAAACAGAACAGGCAGACTGACGAAATACACTGCTGAGGGGAGCCGTGGGCGCGATAGGGAGGTCTGCCTCACCATGTGGGTATCTCCCTGGCCGGCCAGGATTGAACCAGCTCTGCAGAGGCTGTGGGCAGCTTCATAGTGCTGCGCTCAACCGCCTGCGCCACCAGGGGAGGCCCTGATTTTGGTTTATATTGTCAGTTTCTTGGCTTTCTTTCTCCAGATTCCAAATAGGAGTGAATTCATCCAGTAAGTCTTTCTCCTTCTGATTCATTTCACTGAGCATCATCCTCCCCCAACATTCCATCCTTCTTGTTGCAAATGGTCAGATGTATCCTTTGTAATGGCTCAGTAGTATTCCATATTGTCTATATACCACATCTTCCTTTTAGAATTATTTTTCACCCCTGTTGGCCAAGTCAAGTTCCTGCATTTATATCATTGTTTTCCTTCCAGTCACAATTGGGGCTTGAACCTCTCCTTGATTTCATGTTTTCCTCTTCTGCATTCAGTTCTGTCTTTGTGTGCTACACACATTCAGGGTCTCATGTCATGTTAGTGCATATGTTATATTACAGTGCTTCCCAATACATGTAGTTTTCTGTTAACGTTCTTGGGGCATTCTTTTCATTCTGTGATGCGGTAGACTCAGATCAATATTATTCTGATATTAGTGTGATCAACACGACTCCATTTTCATGATCAGTTTTCAGAGAATCTAGTTCCATACTTAACATTCCACATAGTGCACTGAAGTCTATGTTGAGTGTCATAGATGGGATTGAATTGGTCTTATTTTTATTTCATTCAGACACATATGCCATTGTAATGTGGACCTTTTATTTATTTACACACAAATTATTACTGAAAGGGAGGCCTTAACTTTACTAAAGAATGAGTCCTGTATTCTCAGCCATTTTCTACATCCTTTCCTCACTGTTGTATTTCTGTGTATATTTTAAAATTTTTTTTAGAGATTTATTTATGCATACAAGAGCTGGGGTACAGGCCAGAGGCCCCTGTAAAGATTTATTTATGCAAGATTTATTTATTTATTTATACAAGAACTGGGGCACAGGCCAGAAATGCGGGGGGTGAGAGCATTCACCAGAGACAGAGTGGGGAACAGAACAGGCAGATCGACTGAAGTACACTGCAGAGGGGAACAGTGTGTGAGACAGTAGAAGTCTGCTGCGCCATGTGTGTTGCTCCCTGGCGGACCAGGGATCGAACTCCTGCTGCAGAGGCTTTGTGTTGCTTCACAGCGCAGTGCTTAACACCTTGCATCACCAGGGAGGCCCTCTGTATATTTTTTGACTTTTTAAAAAATTATTTATTTATACAAGCACTGGGTACAGTCAGAAGTGCGGGAGGGTGAGAAAATTCACCAGAGCCAGAGCTGGGAACAGAACAGGCAGACCGACGAAATACACTGCTGAGGGGATCAGAGGGCGTGGCAGGAGAGGTCTGCGCGCCATGTGGGACCCTCCCTGGCAACTGGGGATTGAAACGGTGCTGCAGAGACTGCAGGCAGCTTCGCAATCCAGCGCTCAACTGCTACGCCACCAGGGGAGGTCCTTTTTTTGACTTTTTGTGACATGCTTTTATTCCTCTCTCCTTTCTTGTTAGTGATTTCCTTCCTATTTCTCACATTTTGATGTTGATTGCAGTATATTCGTTTGTAATATTATTTACTCACCTTGTAAAGCATTGTCATCCAGCCTGTGCACACATCACATCATTCTCTGTTTTCATTTCCTTTTCCATGTATTTTATGATATCTTTTTTGTCATAGTGGGGATTACATAGCATGTTGAGAAGTTATAACAGCCGGGCCTCCCTGGTGGCGCAGGTGGTTGAGCGCAGTGCTGTGCAGCTGTCCACAGCCTCTGCAGTGCTGGTTCGATCCCCACTGCCCTTGGAGCAACCCACATGGCGAGCAGACCTCTCCTGTCTTGCATGCTGCTCCCCTCAGCAGTGTATTTCATCAGTCCGCTCTGTCTCTGGCCTGTACTCTGGCTCTTGTATAAATAAAAATAAATCTTTAAAAAAGAAAAAAGAAAAGTTAGGACAAGTGAAAAACATGTAAATTCAGCTGCATACCAAAACTCAACTGTTGAACATTTCTACCCCTACTAACATCACAAATTATGTCTCATTATATTTGTATTCTACCACACAGTTCTGTGATTTTTTTTTTTGTTTGTTTCCATATTTTCAAATTCTCAAGCAGAAACACTATTTTTGTTGGTGGGATGTATATCATGCAGTTTTCTGTATTTGGTATGTATTCACCTTTCCCTAAAGACATTACCGATTCATAAGGTGTGTGTTGCTGTCTAGTGCTGATGTTACTTATTCTAACATCAGGCTGGTGAGCTTTATTTGGTATCAATTTTATGTATTAAATATTTAAAGTATTTCATCTTGAGTGCTGTGAGTGGGGTAATTCTTCCTTGCTGTCTCCCAGCCCTGTCTTCTCAAGACGACCAGGTCTCCATGCCACAGTCAGGCACAGAAGATTTGTTCTTAAATGTGGGACTGGGAGGAGATGGAATCGACGCTTTCGAGAATTTAGAATTATTGCGAAACCAGACATGTCAAGAGGCATGTGAAGAACACAAGAGCTGTTGCGATGAAGATTGCCAAGAAGGGAGAATTGTCCACAATCGAATTCCTCCTGCAAAAGGTGATCCAGCATGTAAACCATATTGGGTAAAACACCATTTTACGTCTGTTGCAGGTATAGATAAATATGTTTCTGTTAGCAAAGATCCATGTGACGTTTTTAACAAGACACAATTTCAGAGAGGAATGTTGGAACATATGGGAAGTCCCCTAGTGCATAATGCAAGTGATTATTCAAAACATTGTCAATGTGGGATAAATTTAAACTTTCAGTCAAGTCATTCTCAACATCAGAGAATTAGAAAGGAAAATAAAAAATCTACACAGGGTCACATTGAGGAGTCCTCAGAACTTCTCCAGCATCACACAGTTCATGAGAAACCCTACAGTTATAAAGGATATGGCAAAGCCTCCAAATGGTGCCCAAGACTTACTGAACATCAGAGAGAGAAACCTTCCAAGTGTGAAGAGCATGGTAAAGCCTTGTATTGGCATCCACAGCTGACTAACCATCTAAGGATTCATGCTGGAGAAAAGCTTTACACGTGTCCAGATGGTGGTAAAGTCTTTCTAGGCTTGTGTCACCTTTCCCAGCATCAGAGAGTTCATACTGGGGAGAAACCTTATAGATGTGAGGAATGTGGCAGAGCCTTTAAACAGCAGTCACATCTTAGTCAACATCACAGAATTCATACTGGGGAAAATCCTTACAAATGTGAAGAATGTGGCAAAGCCTTTAACTACCTGTCAGGTCTTTCTGACCATTACAGAATTCATACTGGGGAAAAGCCTTGCAAATGTAAAGTATGTGGCAAAGCCTTTAACAGTAAGTCAGATCTTGCTCGACATCATAGAATTCATACTGGGGAGAAACCTTACAGATGTGAGGAATGTGGCAGAGCCTTTAACCAGCAGTCACATCTTAGAAAACATCACAGAATTCATACTGGGGAAAAACCTTACAGATGTGAAGAATGTGGCAGAGCCTTTAACCAGCAGTCACATCTTAGTCTACATCACAGAATTCATACTGGGGAAAAACCTTACAGATGTGAAGACTGTGGCAAAGCCTTTAACTACCTGTCAAATCTTTCTGACCATTACAGAATTCATACTGGGGAAAAGCCTTGCAAATGTAAAGTATGTGGCAAAGCCTTTAACAGTAAGTCAGATCTTGCTCGACATCATAGAATTCATACTGGGGAGAAACCTTACAGATGTGAAGAATGTGGCAGAGCCTTTAAACAGCAGTCACATCTTAGTCAACATCACAGAATTCATACTGGGGAAAAACCTTACAGATGTGAAGACTGTGGCAAAGCCTTTAACTACCTGTCAAATCTTTCTGACCATTACAGAATTCATACTGGGGAAAAACCTTGCAAATGTAAAGTATGTGGCAAAGCCTTTAATAGTAATTCAAAAGTTACTCGACATCATAGAATTCATACTGGGGAGAAACCTTACAAATGTAAAGTATGTGGCAAAGCCTTTAACAGTAAGTCAGGTCTTGCTCGACATCATAGAATTCATACTGGGGAGAAAACTTACAGATGTGAAGAATGTGGCAGAGCCTTTAACCAGCAGTCACATCTTAGTCAACATCACAGAATTCATACTGGGGAGAAACCTTACAAATGTGAAGACTGTGGCAAAGCCTTTAATCGGAAGTCGAGTGTTACTCTACATCAGAGAATTCACATCAGAGAGAAATGTTAAAACTGTGAAGTCAATTTTTTGACTTTAGTCTTTTTTAACCAGAAGTCAAATCATCCTAAATATCAGAGTGTGAACTGAGAGAAACCCATTAATGAAAAGTGATGAATGGTTTGTCCAAATACAAATTCTGAAACCACCAGATTTTCATACTGGAAACTTGAAAGAAGTGAAATATGAGAAAGTAATTTATTACAAAATTTGGATTCATATTAAGACATTGCAGTACAGTCGGAAGTGAGTAACACTTATCAGACATTCCTTAATGAGAAGATTGTTATGGAGCCTAAACCAACATTAAAACACTAAATATTAGCATAATTGAATAGCTCGAGAGGCCTTCCTGGCAGTGCAGAGGGTTAAGTCACAGCACTATGAAGCTATCTGTAGCCACTGCAGCACGAATTCCCCAGCCAGGGAGCTGACCACATGGAACAGCAGACCTGTGCTGACTTTGCTGCTCCCCTCAGCAGTGTATTTCAGTATACCCATCTGTTCTGCTCCCCACTCTGTCTCTGGTGAATTCTCTCACCCCCACGCCTCTGGCCTACACCCCCATCTCTTGTATGCATAAATAAAATCAATGTTAAAAAAAATATCAAAGTTCAAGATGATGGTTTGAGAACACGCATAGTCATTTTCTGTGTCTTTTTTTTACCAACCGTTCTTGACATTATGAAGAGACCTGATGAATGTAATTCAGACCTAAAGCATGTCATTGTATGGCTTTCTCCTCAAATGTAAGTCAAGTCATGTGTTTGAAATTTGCTGCTTCATACATCTAAGAGACCCTCCTAGTTGATGAATTTGTTCACATCTTAGTTGCTCGGGCAAATTCACGATGGTGTCATGTAACATGTATGAAGAAAATCTAAATGGATATGCTGTCTGTAGTTGACTCAAAAGATTGATCTGAATCACCCAGAGGAGTTGTGGACTTCATTGTGGGCATGAAAGTCAGACAGAAACATGCTGAAGTTCAAAGCATTTCATCATTTTCTCCTTCAGGGAATACACTAACAGTTTATTAAAACGCTCATGTTTCTTCACGGTAGTAATCGAGATCATGAATATTATTTGATGCTGTTGCCAGAAGAAATCTTCACTGGCACATGATGAAAGTGCAGGTGAGTTTTCATAACAGGGCGGAGAATTCTTGCCCATTCACATTAGCTGAGTCAAGCGTCTCTGTGTTGAACAGAGTGACTCTGGGATCCCGGTATCGGACAAGATGCTTCTTAAATGCCAAAATCTTGATTTTGACAAAAGAGCACACAGTGGTTTCTGAATGTCTTATTTGGACTGTATGTGAGCTTAATGTATATTTTAATAAAGCTGATTTCCTTTTTAATGTGGTCATCCTGATGCGTACTTGATAACAGTTGTTGATCCTCAGTATTAGCCTCTCCCTCCATTTCAAAACTGTAGGTAACAGAGGGGAACAGCAAGCGGGTTGTCTACACAGTGTCATTTATCACTAGCAGGCTCTGTTCTCAGATACCTTATATCTCAAATAGTTTTGATGAATTTTGCAACAACTACACATTCTTTTTGTTAGTAACCCTGGACATTGTCATGAGTGTATAGAATATAATGTAGGATTATTTTTAAGAATTTTGCCTGACACTCCATGATATTGGTGCTTTGCCATCCATTTTTGTACGTAAACTATGGGGACTGAAGTGACACTAGACCCCCTTTTAGAGGTTCCTGCTATACTCTCCATGACACCCTTCAGGATCACAAGGAAATATAAATTCTTCACATGACTTCACATGCAGACATTGGCATGCCTCCCTATCTCTGTGGGTAAAATCTCCACAGAGCTGACAATAAACAATACTTAGTTACATTCATTAAGTAATACCTAATGTATTTCTCCTTTGAGTTTACCTGGAGTAATACAGTCTTCAGGACCTTTGTAACACTGCAGTTAGGGACCTTTTCATGGCCTACAAACACACACATGGTCACGGTTTGGATGTATTTTGAATCCAACACGTACATTAATTGAGACATTACTCAGGAATGACAGTGGTTGGAAAGGAAGTGCGTGCTTGTTCATGTTGTGTGCAATGGGAGAGCAGGATGTGCGTAGGGAAGCATGTCCTGATGTTCTGGCGTGGGCAGCAGTTGCCTATTTTTAGAAGAGGCGAATCCTTCTAAAGCGGGACTGTTTGTACGCGGTGTCTGGCGGGATGAGGCGTCCTCCATTCCATTTCGCGAAAATCAGGCGACTGTGAGCAGCTCCCACTAAGACCTTTTAAGAAATTGTATGGGGCCTCCCCGGTGGCGCAGCGGTTGAGCGTTGGGTTGCGAAGCTGCCCGCAGCCTCTGCAGCGCCGGTTCGATCCCCGGCCCCCGGGCGACGGTCCCACATGGTGAGGCAGACCTCTCTTGTCTCGCCCGCTGCTCCCCTCAGCAGTGTACTTCGTCAGTGCCTGTTCTGTTCCACGCTCTGGCTCTGGTGAATCCTGTACCCAGTGCTTGTATAAATAAATAAGTAAATAAAGAAATAAAAGAAATTGTATGAAGGCACTTTGGCTCAGCCCTGGCGGCCCAGCAGATTTTGGGGAGCAAGGTGATGCAGGGATGAATGGGGTGTTAGAATACCTTCTGCTGCCCACCTGGCAGGCAAAGACTAAACATGGAAATGCCTTACAAAGAGCTTGAAATAGATGGTTGGCCACGGAGTCGTACCTGCCTGAGGCTGCAGCTCTGAACTAGGAAGGAGTGGAGTGGTGAAGAACCCCATTTGGAATCCAATTATAGGATTCCACAAGGTCCCTATTTAAGGAAGATTTATTTTTATTTCTGCATGCAAGAACGGGAGTCTAGGCCCAAGGTTGGGGGGGGCGGTTTGAGAAGATTCACCAGAGACAGGGTGGGGAGCAGATGTACTGACATCCAGTGCTGAGGGGCGCGGCGGGGAGACAGGAGAGGTCAGCTGCGCCCTGTCGTCAGCTCCCTGGCCAGCTGGCCGGAGAGGGCTGTCAGACCTCAGTGGCTGGTGAGAGGGTGACAGCGCTGAGCCTTAACCCCTTCACCCCCGGGAGACCCTGTTCAGCTCTTTTTCATTGCAGCCCGGACCCAGTTCTCACCCCGCAGTTTTCAGGGGCCCGCCTACCCGTCTATTGTAACTCAACCTCTGCTCATGCCACCTCCAGGCTGCAAACCCAGCACACAGACGCCCGCGACGGGCGGCGCACGGGATTGTGGGAAATGTAGTCTCTTGAGCCCACGTGGGTCCAGGAAAAGGCTCTGGGCGGGGCCTCCGGGTTCTGCGCAGGCGCGGCCCCGCCCCACGGCGGGACGTACGGGGCCTCCACGCGCCGCGGCGTCACAGTTGTGCGCGGGCGTGTCTCGGGGGCCGGGCTCGTGGGGAGCTGAGGCGGCGCGCGGGGCGGGGGCGAGGCGAGGGCAACGGCGGGGCTGGGCCTGCTGGGTGGGGAGCGGGGGGCTCGGGCGTGCGGGGTGTGGAGTGAGGGGCCCGGCCGCGTGGTGTGGGCAGTGGGGGTCTGGGGCGCGTGGGGTGGGGAGCGGATGGAGAAGCGTCGGGTGAGGCCTGAGGGCGGGCATGGGGGGAGCCCGGGCCCCTGGACGGCGCGGGGGGCGCGGGTGAGGGGGTCTTGGGGACCCCGCTATGGACACGGGGAGCCCCTCACCGGACCCCTTCGCGCTCCCCGGAGTTCTGGGCGTGACGCCGGCGGCGCGCGTGGTGGGTGAGGAAGCCTCCCGCGTCCCCGCCTTTCAGACGCGCGGGGCGGGACGTCGGGTCCTGACGGGCGCCCCGCGGCCGTTCCCGGGGTTGGGGGGGCGTCTGCATTGCAGCCGATTCCCGGGTGTGCGCGGTGTGACTGGGGGATGGAGGCCGAGGGGACCCTCCGCCTGGCTGAGGCTGGCTGAGAACGTCCCGGCCTTACTGGGGGATTCCCCGGTGCGCCGGGCTGTGTCTTCCCCGGGGGACCGCGTGTTCTCCCGAGCGCTCTGACTGCCTCCGGGCCTCGCCCAGGGCAGGTCCACGCCGTGTCAGGGGGTGTCCACGGAAACCGATGCGGGAAACCGATGCGGGAAGCGGGGCGCACCGAACCATTTCTGGGAGCATCCTCGCAAAACAGTCCATCAGGGGCACATTTCCCATGAAACTGTGGTCAGCGGTTTTGCATGTGACTAACCATCTTCGGAAACTTTTAAGTTTCTGAACTTTGAATTTCTTGGATCATCACTTGTGTTTCGACGCAGGAGGCAGGTAGGTCGGGCGGGGGCGGGGTGTGGGAGAGGGAGGGAGGAACCCCATCCCATGGAAGTGTGAGCACAGCTGTCAGGGCGGTGACTCTCTGGGCTCCCAGGCAGTGTGGGGGGCCTGGACAGGACACTCCGGGGCCCCGTGCAGCTGCCTCCGCCCTCTCTGCTGGACTCCATCCCCTCTCCCAGCGCCGCCTCCAGAGTCCTCGCGCATGTGAGAGAGCAGCAGGCAGTGACTCCATCACTGGTGAGTGATGTTTGCATTAGCTTGTGGTGCACTTCATGGGAGTTCATGACCTGAAGTGTAAATTAGAAGCATAGCTTTCTTGAGGAAACCAACATCACAGGATAAAGGTCTAGATCCAGGAAATCACATGTCCAGCATGCGTGGAGATTGGGCTCTGCTGTGATGCTCATGCATCAAACTCTGGTTGACAACGATGATGGTGTGGGCTGTGGCTCTTCACCCCGCTGGACAGAAACACTTCCCAGCTCTGCGCTGGTCAGGTGCGGGGTGAGGGAGGAGGAGGAGGGGCCTGAGGACCCGAGTGCAGATGGGGGTGAAGGAGCCACGTGTCATTTGAAAAGGACAACTGAATTTTTAAGGTTTCTGTGCAGTTGCTAAAACCTATCCTGTGTCCCAGGCCGCTCTCGGAGACTTTCATGCAGGCGTCAGTCTTGGCATGTGTGACGTTGAGTCCAATGGGTCGTCCTTACATACCTGCCCCTGCTCTTCTCTCAGGTGGTCTGTAAACCCCAGGTGCCCAGTCGGCTGTTCAGAGTCCTTTTTTCTGGCCATTATTTCCACTGCTCCTGCGCATTACTTCTTGGTGTGGTCTGAATGCACTTTTAGTGATGCTCACTACACCCTACGATAAGTCCACTTCCACTTCTGTAGCCTTTATCTCCCCAAATTTCCTGCCATATTTGACAATACCATGTATGACCTTGGAAATTTTAGTTACTTTTTTTTTTTAAAGATTTATTTTATTTTATTTATTTATTCATACAAGCATTGGGTACAGTCAGAAGCGCGAGAGGGTGAGAGAATTCACCAGAGTCAGAGCGGGGAGCAGAGCAGGCAGATGGACCGAAGCACACTGCTGAGGGGAGCAGCGGGCGGCAGGAGAGGTCTGCGCGCCATGTGGGACCCTCCTCCTGTGGCCGGGAGCAGCCGGGGATCAAACCGGCGCTGCAGAGGCTGCGGGCAGCTTCGCAACCCAGCACTCAACTGCTGCGCCACCGGGGAGGCCCAATTTTGGTTACTTTTTTAATTGTTTAAAATCTTGGGCCTCCCTGTTGGTGCAAGGAGTTGAGACGCAGCCTATGAAGCCATCTGCAGTCAGTGCAAGCACGGGTTCAATCCCCAGCCAGAGAGCAACCCACATGGCACAGCAGACCTCTCCTGGCTCACCCGCTGCTCCCCTCAACAGTGTTTTCGGTCTGTCTGCCTGTTCTGTTCCCTGCTCTGTCTCTGGTGAATCCTCTCGCCGCCCCCCCCCCCGACACTTCTGGCCTGTACCCCAGTTCTTGTGTGCATAAATAAATAAATCTTTCAAAAAAAACTTCCTATACTTGTTTGCATGTTTACTTCCTTTTTTTTTTTTAAGATTTATTTATTTATACAAGAACCGGGGTACAGGCCAGATGTGCGGGAGGGTGAGAGGATTCACCAGAGACAGAGTGGGGAACAGAACTGGCAGACTGATGAAATACACTGCTGAGGGGAGCAGTGGGCGAGACAGGAGAGGTCTGCCGTGCCTGTGGGATTCTCCCTGGCCCGCCAGGATCGAACCTGCGCTGCAGAGGCTGCGGACAGCTTCACAGTGCAGCGCTCAACCACCTGCGCCACCAGGGAGGCCCTGCATGTTTACTTCTTTTACTTATTTTTGGCTTCCTCAGTCTGTCTTGACATGTGTGGCACTGAAAGCTTTCTGCTGAAATAGTGGTCAGTTTTCTCTTACATTCCTAATAGGTTTGCCCTACCCTTTTTACCCCTGTACCAAACCACCCTGGCCCATCCCCCTCTGCCCCCTCCCTTTCTTCTCCACCCTTTCCTCCTTCCCACTGGTGGTAACCTTTGTCTTCTTTTTCCCTCATTCA